GTAAACGCGGTTGTGTAAGAGAGAGAGAGAGGCGAGGCGCCTGTCACTCACGGACGCTCACGCGGCCCCCTCACGCTTTATTGTTTGCTGTTTCTTTAACCCAATGGGTTTTACTTGCGCAAAAATAAACCCTATTAACTACCCCATTAGTCACTATCATCATCATCATCATCCTTCCGATCAACCACTACACCATCACAACCAATATTAGCATCATCACCACAATCACCATAAACATAATCATCACCATCACTACCCCATCACCAATATCATCATCACCACCACCACCATCATCACCATCATTATCATCATCTTCACCATCACCCCATCACTACCAATATCTTCACCATCACCCCATCACCACCAATATCATCACTACCCCATCACTGCCAATATCATCATCATCATCACCACCACCATTATCATCATTTTCACCATCACGACCCCATCACCACCGTTATAATCTTCACCATCACTACTCCATCACCACCGTTATAATCTTTACCATCACTACCCCATCACCAATATCATCACCACCACCATCATCACCATCATTATCATCATCTTCACCATCACCCCATCACCACCAATATCTTCACCATCACCCCATCACCACCAATATCATCACCATCACTACCCCATCACTGCCGATATCATCATCATCATCACCACCACCACCACCATTATCATCATTTTCACCATCACTACCCCATTACCACCGTTATAATCTTCACCATCACTACTCCATCACCACCGTTATAATCTTTACCATCACTACCCCATCACCAATATCATCACCACCACCATCATCACCATCATTATCATCATCTTCACCATCACCCCATCACCACCAATATCTTCACCATCACCCCATCACCACCAATATCATCACCATCACTACCCCATCACTGCCAATATCATCATCATCATAATCACCACCACCACCACCATTATCATCATTTTCACCATCACTACCCCATTACCACCGTTATAATCTTCACCATCACTACTCCATCACCACCGTTATAATCTTTACCATCACTACCCCATCACCAATATCATCACCACCACCATCATCACCATCATTATTATCATCTTCACCATCACCCCATCACCACCAACATCATCATCACCATCACTACCCCATCACTGCCAATATCATCATCACCACCATCATTATCATTCTCACCATCACCACCAACATCACCATCACTACCCCATCACTGCCAATATCATCACCACCATTATCATTATCTTCGCCATCACTACCCCATCCCCACCGCCACCATCACGCCGTCTCACGCTGCGTGTCGTCACGTCCCCATGGGGCTGCTGGAAGCCGTCCGGAGGGCTCTCGCCATGTGCACGGGAAAGCCCGCACATCCACAAACTGCCCGCACACCCACGCACACAAAAGACAAAGCTCCTCCTGTAGCCTTAACAGACTGTTGGGGGCAAGTGCTGTTAGCGAGCAGCACCTATGAAGGCTGCCACTGTGGCACACGAGGGGGTGGGTGGTCAATACCACGTCCGGCAACCTTTGTTTCCCCACCGCATATGTTTACCCACCGCACCAGGTACTCATTTGAGGCCGAGTCGACCTAGGGGAGGCCCAAGAGCGGTTCAGATATTCAGACATTGTTATTGGTTATAAGCGAGATTGGAACCGGTTTTGTATCACAGTGCGTTAACCACTGCGCCACCACTCCCCACAGATACACGTACAGGTGCACGCGCGCACACCGAGATTAGGCACAGGACCGGTTCAGAAATTCGCCACTGTAATTGGTCGTGAGTGGGAATGGAACTCGGGTTGTTAGTTTCACAGTGCAGTGCACTAACCACTATCGCTCCCCACACTCACGCACATCGGGGCATACACCAGGATACACCACAGTGGTGGTGACATCACCACAGCGGCTTGTGATCGGCTAGGTGCACCTTGAGGCCACATAAAGTGTAGAAGGCTCGCTGACAGGTCACGGAACAGACTCAGGTGTTTTGGGTTGACTGAGACAGCTAGCAGATGCACCACCTGTGCCCTCTACTGTGCCAAAAAAGGGCAGATCACCTTCATGCGAGGTTCGCAGTTCCATCACTGTAATGTATAGTCCAACAGATATTCTTGCCGGGACCTGGCATGCATCCATGATATTGGTTTAACTTATGTTTGTGATTACAAGCCCATGGGTTGTACAGAAGTCTAGCAGCCTCCTACCATTGTCATTGAGCTGATATGGCCCATGCCTTACAAGCAATCCAACCCAGGTGCATCCACCAAGACCCACTCGGGCATTAAAGTCACCCAACAAGATAACTCTATTGCATAGGGCCGCTTTACCCGGGACCTCGGTCAGGACGTGATAGAAGGCATCTGACTCATCAGCTCTTGACTGCATCCCCCAACTGATGTTCATCTTCAGTGGAAGCGTAAAACACCAGCACGAATCTTCCTTGCCTCATTTATGGGGAGGGGAGGCAACAAGAGCCAGGATCTAGCAGCTTCGCACACCTCGCCGCCACATTACAACACCACCTCCATTATTTTGTTCAAAAGAAGAGCCACTCCTTGTTGTTTGGCAGTTTCCAACCCCGAGTGAAGGACTGTCCACCCCTCATGTTGACCGTTGCCAGAACCATTCCCTCGGACTTCCTATATTCCACAGAAGTTCAGACGGTACCGGCCCAGCTCCCGACAACAGGAAAGGCAACCTCTCCTCCACAATGTGTGTTTGAACATTCCACGTGGCCAATCGCAGTAGGATTTTGTGGTTGGTTGGAAGACGTCATAATGCCTGCCCAGCTGGGGCCTTCAGCACGAGCCTTTTTGGGTGTTCTTTTCGTGGCTTTTGGGTCGTATAATTGAAAGCGGAGGGCTTACCGGTGATTGTGAGTGCAATTTCCATGAACGGCGCTTTATAAAACGAAACATTACACTATTTGCCACGCGCATTACACTGCACACTACTTTACATCACACGCTCGTGTACTCCATAAATGCTACACACTAAAGCAGGGGTCGGCAACCAGAATAACAATGAGCCATTTCTTTTCGTATTCGGTAAAAAAACACCTCAATATTTCAAGAGCCACAATGCACTGTGGGGTGATTTCTAGGTGGTGGCTTCTTAATAAGCGACGTCACGAAGCAGCAGTCTTTAAAGAGCCGCATGCGGTTCTGGAGCCTCAGGTTGCCAACCCCTACACCAACGGGTACATTGTGCCACGCACTAAATGCAAACTAATTACACGTACACACACAGAGACAAAGGTCCCCCGTAAAAAAGTGTCATTAGCGAGTGACACCTATGAAGGGGCAGCATGGCACACAAAGGGGTGGGTGGCCAGCAACCATGCCTGACCGCCTTTGTCTCCCCATTGGCGATGATTAGACACCGCACCAGGTACTCATTTGAGGTTGAGTCGACCGAGGGGAGGCCCAGGATCAGTTCAGATAATCGTCACTGGGTGTTGGTGGCCGTGAGCTGGAATCGAATTCGGGTCGTGGGTTCGTAGCGCAGGCAGCGCGCTAACCGCTGCACGACCGCTTCCCACACTCGCGCACACACACACCCGGGCACAGTCATGCGATGAGGACGCGGTCTTGGTCTATTAATGTGGAGTGGAGAGGGGGAAGGGAGGGGGAGAGAGGGGCAGGGGTGCGGGTGATCACGTGACTTGCGAGGAAACACCTGGAGCGCGTGGGCACAGCTCCGGGATGATTGACAGCTGAGTGTGTTTGTGTGCGTGTCTTTGTGTGTACTCTGTGCATTTACACGAATGCATATGTCTGTAAGGGTGTGTCTTTCTACATGTGTGGGGAGCGGTGGCGCAGTGGTTGACAGGCTGCGCTGTGGACCTGGCGACCCAAGTTCGATTCCCGCTCACGTTGCACCATCAACATCAGTGACGATTATCTGAACTGACCCCAGTGGCCTCCCCTCGGTCGACTCTATGTCAGCGTGAGCGTACGAATGTGCGTGTCTCTTTGTACCTGGTGCGGTGTGTAGTAAACATCACCACTGGGGAGACAAAGGCGGTCGGCAGTGGTGCTGGCCACCCACCCCCTCGTGTGCTGTGCCGCCTTCATAGGTGTTCGCTAACAGCATCTGCCCCAACAGTCTGTTAAGGCTATACGGGTGATCTTTGTCTTCGTGTGCAGTGGGGTTTTCCCACAGCACGTGGCCAACCGGGTTCAACTCCGGTTGACGCTTTACAATGGAATTTTTTTATCGGAACATCGTCCTGGGCCTCTCTCCTAGGTTGACTCAGCCCGAAATGTGTACCCCCAGTGTGGTGTGTAAGCATCAATCACTACTGTGGAGATGAAGGCGGCCGGACGTGGTACTGGTTATACTACACATCACCCCCCTACCCCACCTCTTGCATCGTGCCAGCCTTCATAGGTTCTCGCAAACAGCGCTTGATGTAGGTAATTGATTAGTGACGGTGTAGTGAGATGATGGTGATTGTGGTGGTATAGTGAAGGTAATATGATGGTGTTTTAATGGTGTCGTGTTCTGATGGTGGGTATTGTGATGGTGGAGCGATGGTGTGGCGGCGACGTATGTACGTTGAGCTTCTTTCGCACCGTACGTAGCCAACCGCACTAATCTGAGATGTGATGGTGTTGTGTGCTGATGTTTGCAGTGGTGGTTCGTGAAACTTTCCTTCGCGAAGCGGGGAGGGGGTGGAGGGAGGGGGATCCAAGCTCTTTCAACAGGGCCTCACGGCATGAACGAAATTAAAACATTCAATGTATTTGTCTCGGGCAAATATCAATAAAATATAAATGTCTCGGGGGTCTCAAGGAGGGGAGGGCATCTTACCCATCGCCTCCCCCCCACCGAATCCGCCACTGCTGATGGTGCAGTGATTGTTTTGATTGTGGTAATGTTGTGATGGTTGTGTGGTGATAATGATGGTGTGGCGGTGGCGATTGTGTGGTGATGGTGATGTGGTGGTGGGAATGGTGATAGTCATGGTGATGATGTCTCCAGGTTCCATCATGGGGAATCTACTCAAGGTTCTCAACAGCCCCGACTTGGAGCACGAAGGGCCCAACTTCTTCCTGGACTTTGAGAGTGAGAGAGGGACACACGGGGGCACGTGGATAGAGGGGCACTGGGTCAAGTGAGGACAAACATGGACACACAGAGACACACGGACACACGAAGACACAGGGACGCACAGGAACACACAGAGACACGTGGATATACAAGAGCAAATGCATGGGGAACACGTGGAGACCAGGGACAGATGCTTATACAGAGACACCAAGGACAGATGGTTATACAGAGACACACGGGGACACACTGGGACATACAGACACACGGGGACATACAGACACGGGGACATGGGTACAGACACCGGGGCAAACAGGCACATGGGTACACAGACATACACGGGGACACGTGGGCACATGGTAACACACAGAGACACACGGGAACATGGGGACACTTGGGGATATGGGGGGGGGGGGACAGGACACACGGGGGGCATAAGGTGTGTTGTGTGGTACAGTGTGTTGTGATGTCGTCTGGTGGGTGTGCGCGTTTCTGCTTGGGGTGGAGCGGTGTGCTGTGCTGTGTTGTGCGACTGGTTGCTGCTGTGTTAATATGTGCCATGCGGTTGTTGCTGTGCCTGTTGGTGTGGTATGTTGTATCTGATGAGTGGTTGTGGTGCAGTGTGCAGTGAGGGTGGTGTGGTGTGCGGTGTATGTCGTGTACAGCCGTGCGAGGTGTGTTGTGTGTGGTGCATGGTGCGTGGAGTGCGGGGTTCCCTGTGGACCCTGCAGTGAGGAAAGCGGTGTGCGGTGGTGTGCGGTGGTGTGCTGCGTAGACGCGGAGCCGAGCGAGGCGGAGCGCGACGTGTGGGAGGAGGTGAACGCCGTTCTCTCGGTGGCCGAGACGCTGCTGTCCGAGCTCAGGGACTACCCGGGCGCGGGGAGCGAGATACGGGAGGTGTGCCCCCCCCCCCCCCCCGCAGACCCCGACAGAGACTCCTGCACGGTTTAACACGCAGGAGGCTTTTGCCACCAATATTATTAATAATAATGTTTTTTTGGGTTAGATCGTGTAAGTATAAGTGTGTCATAACCCTCCACCACCCGACACAGCCAGCAAGGTTTGTGACGTTAATCGCCCCATGATGCTGGTTGATGTAATTAGCAGCGAAACGTCACGGCGCTCACATTGTAAATGTTGTGGATTTACTTTTCAACACACCGGTGGGTTGAAGTAGTAAACTCATTGGTGCATTGTTTACGTAACAAACCTTATTGGCTGTGTCGGGTGGTGGAGGGTTATGACACATGTATACTTACGTGAGCTAACCCAAACAGCTTTATTATGGACCCCTACACAGAACCGCACACACACACACACCGCTACACAGACTCAGATACAGAACTCTATACACACCTGCAGAGACCTCTATACAGAACCCTACACACCCCTACAGAGACCCTACATGCATACCCATGGACCCCACAGATCCAACAGATCCCCATGTATCCCCGCGTCTCAATATCCTTCCCAATATGGGTACCAGTGTATCCCCATATATTTGTGTCTTCTCGTGGCTCGCCATATCCTCAAGCCCCCCCCCCCCCATGTCCCCCCCACGCCCCTCTCGCCCCTCTCGCGTCTCCCTCCCCCAGGCGATCTCCCACCCGGAGGACGAGGCAGCGCAGGGCCGCGTCTGGGCGGCCGTGTGTCCCCTCGTCTCCAAACTCAAGGGCTTCTACGAGTTCTCCGTGCAGCTCGGTGAGACGACGCCACGGGGAGATGACAACGGGGGAGACACGCGGAGAGAGTGGGACATGGGGAGAGACAGGGAAACAGGGAGACACGAGAAGATGCGGGGAGAGTGGGACACAGGGAGAGAGTGAGACACGGAGAGACATGGGGGGAGAGCGATGCACAAAGAGACATGGGAAAACACAATGAGACACGTGAAGAAACGGGGAGACGTAGAGAAACACGGAGGGAGAGTAAGACACGGGGAGACATGGGGGGGGGGGAGAGTGAGACACAGGGACACGGGAAGACAGAGAGGAGGCGCAAGAAGACGGGGAGAGACATGGACAGACGCGGGGAGTCGAATTTAGAGTGATTGTTATAGGCGACGTGTGGGGTGGCGTGGTTGGGGAGGTCCCATGCCCCCCTCTCCCCCCTAACGTGAGTTCCTCCCCCTCCCCGGCTGCCCCCCAGAGCGGGCCATGGTGCGGCTGCTGGAAGTGCTCACGGCTCCTCCCTGCACCCCCGTGCAGCACCTGGAGCGGGAGCAGGCGCTCGCCAAGCAGTTCGCTCAGATCCTGCACTTCACCCTGCAGTTCGATGAACTCAAGGTAACCGCGTTTACCACGGGTCGCAGTTTACCACGGGGTTGCAGTTTACCATGGATCGCAGTTTACCATAGTTCACCGTTCACCATTGTTCAGAGTGTACCGTGGTGTGTACCGTAGAGTCCCACGTGTGCAGGTTATCTACAGTGTTGTGTGTAGGGTGTGTATCACGGTGTATGGTGTGTACCATGGTGTGTGTACCGTGGGGTATAGGGGTGTAGCATGATGTGTGGTGTATAGGGTGTGCACCGCGGTATGTGGATTGTACCGTGGTGTGTACTGTGGTGTTGTACCATGGGATGTGCTCTGCAGATGACAAACCCGTCCGTTCAGAACGACTTCAGCTTCTACCGCCGAACCCTGAGTCGCATGCGCATGACCAACAGTAACGTGAGTACGGCACATACCACCCTCGCCCGCGTGTACCACCCTCGCCACACCATACCCACGCGTACCACTCTACTCACCTGTACCACCCTACCCACTCGACCCACGCGTACCACCCTACACACGATATCTACGCGTACCACCCTACACACGATATCCACGCGTACCACCATTGCCCTACCATACCCACGTGTACCACTTGGCTGAAACGTACCACTCTATCCACGCGTACCACCCTTATCCCACCCTACCCACGCTGTACCCCCCTGCCCACCCTACCCACGCATGCCCTGCGCTAGGCTGGCACGGAGGCGGAGGTGAGCAATGAGATGGCGAACAGAATGTCGCTCTTCTATGCCGAGTCGACGCCCATGCTCAAGACGCTGAGCAACGCCACCACCAGATTCGTCTCAGAGGTACGGCACGGGACCGTGTGGTGGCACTCGTGGTGGTGGTGGTGGTGATTTTCGTTGTGTTGATGTTCATAATTGTGGTGGGGGTTATAATGATAGTGATGGTGTTAATGACAGTGGTGATTGTTGGTGGAAGTGTTGGTTTTGTTGATGATGGTAGTTATGCTGGTGATTATGGTTGTTGATGTTTATGATGGTTGTGGTAGTGGTGATGATGGTAGTGCTGATTTTGGTGGTCGTGGTAGTTATGGTGGTGTTGATGGTGGAGGTGCACATGGTAGTGATGATGATGATGGTGGTAATTAGGGTGGTAGTGGTGGTGTTGATGTTGAAGATGATGGTTATCCTGATGATGTTGGTGGTGGTGGTGGCGCCACCCTGTGGTTTAAATTAACCATTTAATTAGTTATTGTACTTGCAAACGTTGTTTAAACGTGTCCACGTATCACACATGACGTTTTAAAACACTTGTTCGTCATACAAAATAATAATGTTGTACACGCTTAGACGTGTACAACAAATTAGCACCACCTATTAGCACGGTGCGAAAGAAGTTCAACGTACTTTGACACAATTTATTGTGTGTGCTTTGATTCAAACAATAGAGATCACAACGAAACTGGATAATTCAATGCCACCGAGCTATTTGTTAACCTTGGAAATGGTGATGCAAATGCAATTAATGATTTACTATTATATGTACAAGAACACGAGGGAAACAACTCAGCTGCAGGAGCTGAACCTATACAACTGCACTGAACTTCATTGAAACTGCACCCCAGTAAACGTGCCAACGTTGAGCCAACGTTGGCACGTGGTCAGAACCAACGTTGGGCCAACATTGGCCCCAAGGTTCCACGTTCGCTTGGTATTTTTTTCAGTCGTACTTGCACTAAAACGGGAAGTGGAAACGTCGCTATTGTCCATAATTACGGTGGCGCTGCTAGAAAACAAAGCTCTTGAGAACCGCAAGCAAGCGATTTCTGTTCAGGGCGTCGGTCCCTGCGTGGAAGAGTAGGCCAAAATTCTCCCCCCAGCCACGACCAGGTCTACCTCAACCCCCCTCCTCAACCACTCCCGCCTGTTCTCCAGTCACCAAAACTACACCACCACCAACAACCCCACTACTCTTAATGATCTCAACCACTATCATCTCATGCGAAATGTAATAAATGTTGTTATGCGTCTTGCAATAAGGAGCTACTGCGGCAGTTTTCTTCACTAATTTTTCGAGGGGGGGAGGAGGGGGCACTGTCTTAAGACATTGTCAGTGTGAGGGCCGTCACACATTTGAAACCATTGAGGGTTGACAGCAGCAGCAGCACGACGACGATGATGATGATGGTGGTGGGGGTGTTATTCACTCGTTCTGTATTGTCGGGGGCCGCATCAAAGGCCACCAGGGGCCGCCAGTGGCCCGTGGGCCTTGCAATGCAGAACGCTGCTCTACAAAGTGTGTACATTTCTATGCGACGAGATAAGGAATTGCAGGGTTGCGCCTCGGCCTTGTTTGTAATGCACAAATTTGTGGTGGGGGTTGTTGGAGCAGCACGAGTCGGTGGTGCCTCTGGAGAACACGACGGACTGTTTGAGCACCATGGCGAGCCTGTGCAAGGCCATGCTGGACACGCCGTGAGCTCACCACCACCACAACAACAACAACAATAATACTCGTACACAACAACAACAACAACACGACAAGAACAATATTAGTACACAACAACACTACACCACAACAATATTAGTACACAACAACACTCCACCACAACAATACTAGTACACAATAACACTACACCACAACAATACTAGTACACAACAACACTCCACCACAACAATACTAGTACACAACAACAACAACAACACGACAAGAACAATATTAGTACACAACAACACTACACCACAACAATACTAGTACACAACAACACTCCACCACAACAATACTAGTACACAACAACACTACACCACAACAATACTAGTACACAACAACACTCCACCACAACAATACTAGTACACAACAACAACAACAACACGACAAGAACAATATTAGTACACAACAACACTACACCACAACAATACTAGTACACAACAACACTACGCCACAACAATACTAGTACACAACAACACTCCACCACAACAATACTAGTACACAACAACACTCCACCACAACAATATTAGTACACAACAACACTACACCACAACAATACTAGTACACAACAACACTACACCACAACAATACTAGTACACAACAACACTACACCACAACAATACTAGTACACAACAACACTCCACCACAACAATATTAGTACACAACAACACTACACCACAACAATACTAGTACACAACAACACTACACCACAACAATACTAGTACACAACAACACTACACCACAACAATACTAGTACACAACAACACTACACCACAACAATACTAGTACACAACAACACTACACCACAACAATACTAATACACAACAACACTACACCACAACAATACTAGTACACAACAACACTCCACCACAACAATACTAGTACACAACAACACTACACCACAACAATACTAGTACACAACAACACTCCACCACAACAATATTAGTACACAACAACACTACACCACAACAATACTAGTACACAACAACACTCCACCACAACAATACTAGTATACAACAACAAAACTACACCACAACAATTCTAGTTCACAACAAGACGAGTACAAAACAACAACACTACACCACACCAATTCTAGTTTACAACAACAACACTACACCACCATGGCAAGCCTGTGCAAGGCAATGCTGGACACGCTGTGAGCGGGTCCACCACCACAATACTAGTAAACAACAACACCACACAACAATACTATTAAACAACAACACGGAAACACTACACCACCACTATGAGCTAGGCGCCATGCTGGATACGCCGTGAACTTCCACTTGCTATTGCAACAACAACCACTACAAGCACAACACAACTTAACCACCATAACAACATCACCACAACACCGTCAGACCAGCTCAACACAACTTAAACAGCACAACACCACCACAACCACGCCCAACCACAACATAACGCACGGCCAGAGGCTCGTGTAGTAAGCTGGGCAGTGCAGCAAGTAGGTGGTTTCGTGTGGTGGTGGTGGTGGTTCTTCCGCAGGGAGTACCGGTGTCGGTTTGGCAGCGAGGATTCGATGCTCTTCTGCCTGCGTGTCATGGTGGGCCTCATCATCCTCTACGACCACGTCCACCCAGTCGGGGCCTTCGCCAAGACCTCCAAGCTGGACGTGAGTGGAGACGGTTGGGGGGGGGGGAGGGAATGGTCCGAGTCTTCTCCTGTCGTGTGGAAATAGCGACAGGAGATGATGGGTGGTGAGATCGCGTTTAACGAGCCAGTCAAAGAAGATGACATCATCGGATGAGGAGCGACTGTTTGTGTCATCCCGCCGGGAAGAAGAAGAAGTGAAATCTGGGACACTTCAGCTGGAGTGTGAGTGTGCGTGGTGGCCATCGTCGTCTTGCAATCGTCGCGCCTGCGATTAGCACGGCTGGCTGCGTACGCGCGGTGCGAAAGAAGATCAACATACGTGCAATAATATACACGCATCGCCACTCGTGCGTCATCGGATAGAATCCAGGTGGGCCGTGGGAATCCCTGGCTCAGGTTTACAATCACCCACGGCCACCCAGACAGGAGGCTCCTGATCGGCCGTTGGATCTTTAACCGAGGCTCTAGTGTTCCTCTAGAGCAGGGGTGGGCAAATTTTATGACTCGCGGGCCACAATGGGTTCTAAAATTTGACAGAGGGACCGGGCCAGGAACAGATGGATGGAGTGTTTGTGTGAACTAATATAAATGACATGTAAAAATCATTACATGAAAGGATTTGGCCTTTAACAGGTAGTAAAGCATTTATTTGCAAGGCAATTTAACAAATTGAACAATACAAAAACATGTCGTGTGACGAGGGGGAGCAAAGCGAAAAAATGAAGGGAGCACCGTATCTAACTTAGCAATGTAAACAAACCCTGAAAATGGTGCTGACGGCCCACAATGCATTGTGAGATCATGTGCCCTTTCGAGCCCTATACACCACACTCCCGGTCAAAGTGCGCCATCTAATGGGGAAATGGGGGCATTAATGGAGAAAGGTAACATTTTATTTAATAATATTTGGACAAGTTCGGCGGGCCGGATTAAAAAGCCCAACGGGCCGTATATGTTCTAGATTTAAAGCTTTCGTGACTGCAAGGATCCATACTCGAGACAGCCTGATCCCTTCACCTGATGAAGGCCGCTTGTGTTGTGGCCGAAACGTCGTGATTTTTGTTGTTTTATTTTACCTATGTGACTTTACCGAATAGAACCAAAGAGTATGGGCCGTATACGGCCCGGGGGCCGTACTTTGCCCATGTCTGCTCTAGAGCGAGGTGCATGTGCTGTACATGTGACCTGCGCTGTATGCCACTGTTTGCTGTGCGTGCTGTCTGTGCTCTACATTCTTATACTGCATGTAACGTGTGCTTTACATGCTGTGCTGTGTGTACTGTGTGGTGTATGTAATGTATGTGCTCTGTGTAAGGTGTGTGCTGTGTGCATTGTGTGTGCTCCGTGTAATGCCTGTACTGTGTGTGCTGTGTGCAATGTGCTCTGTATGTCTGTACTGTGTGTTGTGCTCCATGTAATGCCTGTACTGTGTGTGCTGTGCATGCTGTCCACAGATGAAGGGCTGCATTAAGGTGCTGAAGGAGCAGCCCCAGGCGAGTGTGGAGGGGCTTCTGAACGCACTCAGGTAACAACTCGGGTAACAACGGTGGAGTGGTGGCTCAGTGGTTAGCGCGCTGTGCTTATGAATCCAACAACCTTGTTTTAATTCCTGACCATGGACGTCTGTGGCAAAGGATCAAGGCCGTAGCCATGAAGTAAACATTGGGGGGGACCACATTTTCCAGGGTGTCTGGGGGTCCCAACCCAAAAAAATATTTAATTTTGAATCTCATTTCCTGCCTAAAATATAAAAAAATTCACTAGCACATGGAATGGACTTTTTTTTTACAATAATGTCTAATAGTGTATTTTATTACATTGCTCTGTTTTTACTTTTTACCATTTCTTGTTTCATTGTACGTAATGGCAGAGATTAGGGATTAATAAAGTACAACCATAACCACAATCATATAAACAGAAATCTATACATTGATTTATATGAAGACAAGTCCAGATATTGTGGCCAAGGTTTATCAAATTGTTGTTTTTATTTACATAGCATAGCAATTATTTTTTATAGAAATATATTGGGGGGGACATTTCGAGCATATTTGAATGGGTCCCCCCCTATATATAATTACGGCCTTGCGAAGGATATCTGAATTGGTCCCAATCCGCACTGACCACCGTGGTGAGGTATAGTGAAACAACCCCCTTGACCGACACAGGGAGCGAGGTGCATCTATCCTGGAAAGGCCTTCATCCAGAAGTGGATTTTAAAAAAAGGATGTAGGTATACTATATATATATTTTTTTAAGTTTTGCTGGCTGGCTGGCTGGCTGGAGGGACAGTCAATTCCAAAGGACGTGCAGTGCGATCTTTATTATTAAATAAAAAGTCTAATTGAACATAATGAGTTGTGCATTCACTGGTGCCTGGGCTGGGACGAGCAACTAACACTTGCGAATCCGGTTTCATGACAGCCCAGTCTATGTGAGTCTCTACAGGTCACTTTGTAAGTCATTGGTGATTGGACTGAGAAGATGAACTCATTACGATTGAGAATCCATTTTTATTGTGTTTAGTTTGTTGTCCTTCCCCCCGGACCTCCAATTTAGCACGGTTGGCTACATATGGTGAATACAATAACCAGAGGTGTCTGAAACCAGTATTCACATGCAGTGGTGCCAACAGCTCAGCATCTCTTTTGTCGTTTCTCCCAAGGTACACGACACGACATATCAACGACGAGACGTCGTGCAAACAGATAAAGAACATGCTGCAGTGACGACGCCGAGCCACCTCGAGCCACCCTGGGCCACCTCGAGCCACCCTGGGGCTATCCTGGGGCCACACTGCGACCAGGCTGGGCCCTCGCCCCACCCCAACGGGGTTTGGACGGGAGAAGAGAGTCACTCCCTTGGCCCCCCACCCGGGGTCTCGGGGACTCGGGGACAAGGGGGGTGGTGGTTTGGTGGGAGGATGGGGGAGCTGGCGGGCGGGTGGATGGGTGTTTGGCGAGTTCGGTTGACTGTGATGTTATTTTATTGGTGGGCTGACCGTGTGTGTGTGTGTGCGCGCGTGCGTGCGTGTGTTTCTGCGCACGCGTGCGAGAGAGATCGCTGGTCACTGCAGTCGAGGCCGAACGTTGAAATTCGTGACGGAATGATTTTAATTTTAAACCGCGGCTAGCGGAACGTAGCGATGTTCGTGAGCAGACGCGATGCCCTCGGTACGAATTATGGTACGGAATTTGAACCAACGGGGAGCGAAACACATCCATATCCTGCGGGACAGCCGCCCCTGTGCCCTGCGATCGACACACAGGGGGCAATCATTGAACATCCACGGGACATTCTGCGCCACAGGTCGCACGTGGTGATAGGTACACATCTCTTATAAGAAGTCTGGCCAGGCTGGAAGAGTAGGCCAAATATCACTCTTTGAGAGCTCCCTGTAGTGGAGACCCTTCTGCGAGGAGTGGCGTGAGCAAACAATTGCAGGGCCTGCGTCTTTAATCCTGTGCCCTTGACGCTACGGGCAGGCGCGGCTGTCCCACGTGGATGGAGCTGCATGATATTGTAGTTTATACGAGCGCCGCCCCACCTTGCTGTGTGTTCAGTGACGTATGTGGATCCGTGAACAGGGCCCGTTGGTACGTGAGCCTATGACGCCGTGAGAAGAGGGGCGGCTGGGATTCGGGACGTACAAGAACCACCAACGACCCCCCTTCCCCCCCACTTTACTCTGCCCCATGTGTCCCCCCCCACAGGTGTAGCAATAACATGAGGGGTCAGGGTTCAACACAGACACGACCACCTGTGTCCGGCAATCAGAGCCGTCCCTAGGGTACGGCGAATCGGGGCGACCGCCCCAGGTCCCGCGCTTTGGGGGTTGGGAGGAGGGCTCCGTGCTTCGATGTCACAGTGTCAGATGTAATAATTCCGGTTTAGTTTGAAGGCGTCGGGGGCCCACACGGTACGGTTAAACCCTCCTCCCCTCCCCATGGACGGCCCTGCCTGTGACTAACCGCAGCCGTGTGGTGTGTGCGGCAAGCGCGGTTCCCGTGTCCATCCCTGTGTCCGTCCGTGTGCGTGCCCGTGTCTGTGTGAGTGTGGCTGTGACCCATGGACCAAACGCGAGTTTTTGTATCGTCTGTGTTGCATGCCATCGGCGCGTAGAGACGGTGACTGTTCGCACATAGAGGCCAGCCCCATGGCCATCGCCACCGCAGGGAGACGCAGTCATCGCCGACAGTGACGAAGGAACAAAGGGTGGAAAGGAAAATCTGGGGTTTAGGGTTAAGGTTGGTGTGAGGGGTAATACTCGTGGCTAGCTGGTTGGCTAGTTACATAGAATTAGAGTGATTTGGCAGGGTTGGTATATTTATGGTGAGGTTAGGTTAGTGAGAGGGCTAGTGGTTAGTGGGGAGCAATGGAGTTTAATCACCCCCCCCCCCTCCTTTGAGACCCCACATATGTATTATTTTGGGGGAGGGGTGGTTATTAATGTCGGGCCCTGTTTAAACAGCTTGACATTTTTAAACTGCCACCCCCCCTTGGGATATTTTTGATCCGCTGGTGTGGCTAGTTAGCTAGTTATGGACAGTGACCGTGTTTGTACGAGGAGCTGGTGGTCTGTTAAGAGTTGGAGTCTGTGTGAGGACTAGTGGTAGTGGCTGGTTACGGGTTATTGCTCGTACTAATTTGACATACTAGCTGCTTACGGTTAATGGTTAGCATTTGGTTGGCCAGTCAGCTCATAAACCGCTGGCAAGGTATGGCAATCTCGTTTTATGGGTGCTGGAGTTTACGGTCAAGTTTCCTCTCCATGGTGCCATCCCCAACCAAAGAGGCAGCCAGACCGCTGGGAGCCTGTTACCAAGGCAGCTCCACCTGCTCCATCCACAGCATCACCCTCACGTTGCAAAGTTACCAACTTAGCGGGGTATCAACTCCCATCACGTCCACTCACTCATTACTCAGCCTTTGCTATCGAGCACGAGACCAGAATAATTCAACTTGCAACCAGAATAGCTTAGGGGTGGGGTTGGGACTTTATGGCTACCACCAGGACTTTATGGCCACCACCAGGACTTTTCTGGCCAAAGCGGGACGTTTGATCTCTGTACATCCCCCCTGCAGTCGCGTTGCGAGCGACCACGATTTCTGTGTTGCTCTTTTCGAATGTTGCCGTTGCCACACCTCGCACCACGCTTCAGGCTGCCCGGTTCACGGTCACATGGCAGGTGACGGTCATTTACCCAAGTGGCAAAATTTGTTTTATGCGTGACAGTTTTATAGGAATACAGGACATTAAGTATTATTATTATTTTTATATATAAATGTTACTGCCTTCATTTGCACCTTTAATGGCTTATGTAAAATACCGGATTGTTTTGTTTTTAGTCATAGGCCGAGAAGACGCCTTTGCTTGATCCTCTGCCGGGTTCCCTTCGCTGGGTCGCTCAGGCAAGAGAGGAGGGCGAGGGTTGCGGCTCGCGGCCTGAACTTTATAATTTATTAAGAATCACTGGGCCCCCCATTGAGCTCATTGCCTCGGTAACACGCAACTGCAACGACTAACATGCGACATTTTGTGAAACATTTAAAGAATACAACAAAGCATCCTTTGACATCTGGTTAACCCTGACCCTGCCTCCTACACAAACCCTGGTTCTAAAACTGGCCATGACCCTGGCCATGACCCTGGCTCTGACCTTGGCTGTAACACTGACTATGGCTGTGACACTGACTTTGACCCTGGCTCTGACCCTGGCTCTGACCCTGACACTGCCCTTAGGTCTTGACGCTGACCCTGGCTCTGACCTTGGCTGTAACACTGACCCTAGCTCTGACACTGGCTCTGACTGTGACCTTGGCTGTGACCCTAACCTTGGCTCTATCACTGGCAACGACCCTGGTTGTGACCTTGGCTGTGACCATAACCTTGGCTCTAACACTGGCCCTGACCCTGGCTGTGACACTGACCCTAACCCCGCGTCCCGTGGACACATTTAGACCGGCGCAGTGGCGAGAGGAAAACAAAAGTCGGTGTTGCAAACTCCTCAAATGCGAAAAGTCGCCCAAAGAACCTCAAAGCGGTCGCTAGGCGTCACCAGATAGACGAAGTTGCCAACCAGGTCACTAAACAATGCACCGAGCCTCGTACACACGAAGCGGATGCGGGGTCCCGAATTGATTTCCGTGGGATTGCGCCGAAATCTCCACAATGCCCTCTTTGCGTCAATTTGCTGAAATGTGTTGCGAGTCGCGCATGACGACAAAACTCCCGAGTCGGAGTCGCCCGTTCGCAGTGCGCCCAGTGCAGTGTACACAGCACTCGCAGGGTGCAGTGTACAGGGTGCAGTGTACACAGCACTCGCAGGGTGCAGTGTACAGGGTGCAGTGTACACAGCACTCGCAGGGTGCAGGGTACACAGCACTCGCGTGGTGCAGTGTACAGGGTGCAGTGTACACAGCACTCGCAGGGTGCAGTGTACACAGCACTCGCAGGGTGCAGTGTACAGGGTGCAGTGTACACAGCACTCGCAGGGTGCAGTGTACAGGGTGCAGTGTACACAGCACTTGCAGGGTGCAGTGTACACAGCACTCGCAGGGTGCAGTGTACAGGGTGCAGTGTACACAGCACTCGCAGGGTGCAGTGTACACAGCACTCGCGTTGTGCAGTGTACAGGGTGCAGTGTACACAGCACTCGCAGGGTGCAGCTGTACAGGGTGCAGTGTACACAGCACTCGCAGAGTGCAGGGTGCAGTGTACACAGCACTCGCAGGGTGCAGCTGTACACGGCAGGCGCAGGGTGTAGCTGTACACGTAAAGTGCAGTGTACAGGGTGCAGTGTACACGGCACGCGCAGGGTGCAGTGTACAGGGTGCAGTGTACACAGCACTCGCAGGGTGCAGTGTACAGGGTGCAGTGTACACAGCACTCGCAGGGTGCAGTGTACACAGCACTCGCAGGGTGCAGTGTACACAGCACTCGCAGGGTGCAGTGTACACAGCACTCGCAGGGTGCAGTGTACAGGGTGCAGTGTACACAGCACTCGCAGGGTGCAGTGTACACAGCACTCGCAGGGTGCAGTGTACACAGCACTCGCAGGGTGCAGTGTACAGGGTGCAGCCGTACACAGCACTCGCAGGGTGCAGCTGTACACGGCAGGCGCAGGGTGCAGCTGTACACGTAACGTGCAGTGTACACAGCACTCGCAGGGTGCAGTGTACACGTAACGTGCAGGGTGCAGTGTACAGGGTGCAGCTGTACACGGCACGCGCAGTGCAGTACATTCGTATCCAGTTCGGTGTGCGCAGTATAGAGCGCATACAGTAGGCACAGTGCACACACGCGGCGTACAGTGCACGAGCGCGGTGTACAGTGCGTGCACGCGGTGTACAGTCCGCGCGGTGCACGCACTGTACAGTTCGTTATGCGGCGGTGTACAGTGTACGCGGTGTACAGTGCGTGCTGTGCACGGTGCGTACAGTGCGCACTGCGGTGTGCACTGTACGCACAGCGAGCGGTTGATGGCGCTGTTGTGCAGCTCCAAGCGTCACCACGAACGCGATCAAACACATTGCCAACATCATCGTGATCACTGTCATCATCGGGATCAACATCATCGTGATCACCGTCATCATCGGGATCAACATCATCGTGATCACCGTCATCATCGTGATCACTGTCATCATCAACATCATCGTGATCACCGTCATCATCGGGATCAACATCATCGTGATCACCGTCATCATCGTGATCACTGTCATCATCGTGATCAACATCATCGTGATCACTGTCATCATCGTGATCACCGTCATCATCGGGATCATCATCCTCGCCATCGCCTGCACAAGCTGTGAGCGAACAATTCCACGTTAGAGATCCCGTGACGTCCGTTCGGGCGAGTCGGGCAAATCGCGTTGCCGGCATCATCATCCATACTTTGCCAAAATTAACCAAAAAAGGCAAATGACCCGGCGAAGGACTCAATTTGTTAAGGACACCACAAGTAAAGAATCATTCAACCCCCTCCCCCCTCCCGTCTGCGATAACGTGACAGGACCCTGGTAACAACGAGTCATGGGATCCAGTGAGCCGTTGCTGGTTAAACGAGGTTAATAATAATAATAATTCGGTCTGCGCTGTGATTGAAAAAGTCGAATCGCGTAACCCTCTGAACGGCCACCCGCCCTGCCCAACGCATCCCAAACCGCCGTTCAATATAATTGGACACGCGCTGCACGAGCCCGATGATTGGTAAACACGTCCCAAGCCAGCCCACAAGAGTCAAACAACAACAAAAACTCGATACGCGGTGTCACCTTAAAAGGGAAAAATATAACCGACGTTTTGGGCAATGGCCCTTCTGCACAGTACGCACCATCCACAGCGGGATCTCTGCACGCCACGCGGATGACGCTTTTTGTCAATCATCTGGCGCGTGCAGCGTGTAACAATTTAATTTGTGGCCAATATTCCATTACCCAGGGTAACGGGGGTGCAATGCAGAACGTGCGCCCCGACTCCATAGAGTCGGGGTTGTTGTGTGTGTTCGTTGTGGCAGAACGTCGTCTGATTACTTCCGCTCATGATTGCGTTGCCGTGGCCACTGATTCCACGAACTCTCCCACGAGCGAGGCGCAGCTTAATAACCGTAGCGGCAGCGCGTTTGAAGATGGGTTAGTTTCTTGGGTGACCGGAATTTGAACCCCGCCCCCAAAAAAAATATTTTGTAAACGTGGATAGGCGACGCGAGAACTTCCGCGGATTTCCCTTGGGGTTCACACCGGGTCGACAGAAACTATTAATCGATGATGGTGATGATGATTCATCCTCATGATGCACCCGTTTAATCTCACGCGTGCGCGCGTATGTGTTTGTGTGTATGAACCAAAATATTTTTCGTTTTAGATTTGTGCAAATGGTCCCTTTTTAGGCTGAGCGGTCACAACCGACGGGACGTGACTGACCGAACAAAACAAACGAGACGGAACAAACGATACAGATGGTGCAAGCTGATTAATAATAACAACAATAACATTGAAGAAGCAATACAGACGAGGCCAGTTAAAACGGGAGAACGGTACAAAGCAGTCGGTAAATACGATGCAAATATTTTTTTTACGTTTCAATTATTTTTTATCGAAACTCCCGCACAGAATTGTCTGAATGGGATCGCTGGTGCTGTAAGAGGGGGGGGGGGGCTCAATTGTTAGATAGCTAGGACCCCCCCCCCCCCAAACGTGGCAGGTTAACTATCAAGGGGGGTGGGGGGGTGGGATTTAATTGCGGTGCGCTATGAAACTGTCAAGACTACTGATGATGGCGATGATAATGATGATGGTGGCGATGGCGGTAATGTTGGGGTGCTGCCTGTGCGTGTGTCGTTGGTGTATAAAGCGCGTGAACGTCACCAGCCGTGTCCTCCGTGTCCGCCTGGGACTTGTTCGAGCGGTGTGCGAGACGCGTGGGCTGGCCGCAGCGTGTGTCACTGGCCACCCACGTGTGCCCTTCATGTCTTCATAGGTGCTACGTACTCAACTAAAAGCACTTGCCTCCAAAAGTCTTTAAATGGTATACGTGCGATCTCTCTCTGATGTGATGTGCGAACATCGCCACTCGGGAGACAAAGGCGGCCGGGCGTGGTGCTGGTCACCCACCCCCCCCCCCCCCGTGTTCCGTTCAGGCCTCGCCCCAAAAGTCTAAATGCTATACGGGAGTGCTTTGTCTAGTGTCTCTGTGGCTGCCTCTGTGTCTTTATCTGTGTCTGTGTGTCCTCTCTGTCTCTGTGTGTACCCCGAGGTCGACTGAGCCAACCCATGTGCCGACTTTGGGCCAAACGTTTGCAAGTGGTTGGAATAGTTGGCCAACATTCCGTGTTACTGGGGTGATGAACGTGTGGATTCGGTTGCATTTGCACAGCGCGTATTCCGTGCAGCGTCCACGCGGTCTCTGTGTGTCTCTTCCCGAGGGAGACTCTGCCTTAAATGAGCACCTGGTCGGTGCAACAATCACCGCTGGGGAGACAAAGGCGCTCGTGTTTCGTATTGCCCTTCTTAGGTGCTCGCTAACAGCACTTGGCCCTGACAGCGCGTGCAGGCTACACGGGAGTTTGTGGATGGTGGGGGGCAGTGGTTAGCGCGGTCGGATACGAACCCCGGCCACCTGAGTTTGATTCCCAACCACGTCGACCATCAGTAGAGTGGGGGGGGGAGTGATACCAGGACCGGTCCTGCACGTATCCCTGGTCGACTCGGCCCCGAAGCGAGTACCTTGCGCGGAGTTTTTTTGAAACATCGGCGCTGACAGCACGTGCGCCAAAGGGATTGTGAACACAGTTGCTGAGCAAAGGCGCAAAACGTCAAGGGGCCAGCAACAAGCAGCACTATCAACGTTGTTTAAAGAGGCGTTGAGAGGGAAATCCAAAGTAGAGCAGTGCTCGGGAAGAAGTAGCAAGAAGTGTTGTGACCTGGCGTGTGGTGAGCGGGCGAGTGGGTGGTTGAGTGAGCGAATAGGTGAGCGAGTGGGTGGGTGGTTGAGTGAGCGAATAGGTGAGCGAGTGAGTGGGTGGTTGAGTGTGCGAATAGGTGAGCGAGTGAGTGGGTGGTTGAGTGTGCGAATAGGTGAGCGAGTGAGTGGGTGGTTGAGTGTGCGAATAGGTGAGCGAGTGGGTGGTTGAGTGAGCGAATAGGTGAGCGACTGGGTGGTTGAGTGAGCGAATAGGTGAGCGACTGGGTGGTTGAGTGAGCGAATAGGTGAGCGAGTGAGTAGGTGGTTGAGTGAGCGAATAGGTGAGCGAGTGGGTGGTTGAGTGAGCGAATAGGTGAGCGAGTGGGTGGTTGAGTGAGCGAATAGGTGAGTGAGTAGGTGGTTGAGTGAGCGAATAGGTGAGCGAGTGGGTGGTTGACTGAGCGAATAGGTGAGTGAGTGGGTCGTTGGGTGAGCGAATAGGTGAGCGACTGGGTGGTTGAGTGAGCGAATAGGTGAGCGACTGGGTGGTTGAGTGAGCGAATAGGTGAGCGACTGGGTGGTTGAGTGAGCGAATAGGTGAGCGACTGGGTGGTTGAGTGAGCGAATAGGTGAGCGAGTGGGTGGTTGAGTGAGCGAATAGGTGAGCGAGTGGGTGGTTGAGTGAGCGAATAGGTGAGTGAGTGGGTCGTTGGGTGAGCGAATAGGTGAGCGAGTGGGTGGTTGGGTGAGCGAATAGACGAGAAAGTTGTGACCAGCAGCAGCATTAGTGAGTGAACACTGCGTGAAATGAGACGGAACCGCCAGTATGGTATGGAGGGGGGGGGATCCGGGGGGGAAAGGCGGGGGTGGGGCTACCCCACCCCTCCCCCACCCTCGCCCCCACCCCCGCCCCCGCCCTCACCCCCACGTGCACCCAGTCGGGTCGTTCAGTCGGGGTCGCGCGTGGCTCCGTGTCGCGTCGATTCACGCGTGGTCATTCAATCCAGACACGCAGAGAGACGTCCAGACACACAGATAGAGATACACACACCGAGACAGACATACGTAAATAGACGGACAGGGACTTATACGAAGATACACGCAGTGAGATGCAAAAATACACACAGATTCAGGGATATACAGAGCCACAGAGACAGAAACGTATACAGAGGTGATACATAGACGCGTAGAGAAACGCGCAGAGACTCACAGAGGTAGACAGATATACGCCTACGACACACACAGTCTACGACACACAAAGTCTACACACACACAAAGTCTGCACACACACACAAAGTCTACGACACACACACACAAACTCCACACACAAAGTCTACACACACACAAACTCCACACACACAAAGTCTACACACACACACTCCACACACACACACAAAGTCTACACACAAAGTCTACACACACACAGTCTACGACACACAAACTCCACACACACAAAGTCTACACACACACAGTCTACACACACACACTCCACACACACACACAAAGTCTACACACACACACTCCACACACACACAAAGTCTACACACACACAGTCTACACACACACACTCCACACACACACACAAAGTCTACACACACACAGTCTACACACACACTCCACACACACACAAAGTCTACACACACACAGTCTACACACACACTCCACACACACACAACGTCTACGACACAAACTGCAGGCGGTGCAAGGGACGAGAGGGATGCCGCCACTGCTGCCCGCAGGAGGAGCTCGGAGCTGAAGGATCGGATCCGGCTGCGAGGCGCCGCGAGGAGCACGCCGTGAGTCTCGGGCGATCTCTGTGTCTGTGTCGGGTGCGCTCACAACAACGAGCAGAGCGCCGGGCGGATAAAGCACAGCAAGTTGGCACAGTCGGGGGCCACAGGTCAACCCATGGCACCTGCTGGGTCTGTCCCGTCCCGGGACCTCTTACCCGCGGGCGTTCGGCAATTCACGTGGCCTCGACGTGCACATAGCCTGGCACAAGCGCTGTGGTGACATCACCGCCACTTAGTGGCGAATGGCGATTGTTGTATTGTGCGTAAGCAACACCACTGGGGAGACAAAGGCGGCCGGGCGTGGTGCTGGCCACCCACCCCCTCGTGTGCCGTGCCGGCCTTCATAGGTGCTCGCTAACAGCACTTGTCCCATCAGTCTGTGAAGGCTCTAAGGGGATCAGTGTGTTGTGTGAGGGTTAGCTCGCTTTGCTACGAACCCGGTAACCCGAGTTCGATTCCTGCTCACGGCCACCAACACCAGTGACGATTTTCTGAACCGGTTCTGGGCCTCCCCTAGGTCGACTCAGCCTCAAATCAGTACCGAGTGGCTGGTGCGATGTATAGAGTGTGTGTGGGAATGTCAAATACACAGTAGCGTTTGGATGGCGTGTACACGTCCCGCCACTCCATAACGTGACGCATGCATGGTTATTGAACTTTGTTCGTACAGTACGTAGCCAACCGTGCTAATTGGAGGTGCGACGTGTGGCCATGTGCTCATGTAATCCATCACCACCACCACCACCCACCATCACCACCCACCATCACCACCCACTACGACCACCTCCATCACCACCACCACCCACCATCACCACCCACCACCACCCCCCACTACGACCACCTCCACCACCACCACCACCACCCATCATCACCACCCACTACGACCACCTCCATCACCACCACCACCACCCACTACGACCACCTCCATCACCACCACCCACCATCACCACCCACTACGACCACCTCCACCACCACCACCAACTATGACCACCTCCATCACCACCACCCACTATCTCCCCTTCCATCCACCACCACCACCCTCCACCATCGCCACCGTCCATCACCCCGCAGGACGCGCGCGGAGGGAGGTAGGAGCAGCCCGTCATGTCCACCCACGACCTCTCCGCATGCTCCTCCTTCTGCTGGGACCCCGACACGGGGGCCTCCCTCGTGGGGGGCCCCGTCCAGCAGCACCAGCAGAGCACGGCGCTCAGCGAGGACATCTGGGACAAGTTCCAGCTGCTGCCAACTCCCCCGCGCTCCCCCAACCGGGACGCCGATTCCTCGCATCACCACCAGCACCGCCATCAGCAGCAGCAGCAGCTGGATGAGCTGGATGAGCAGGAGGTGGAGGAGGCGTGGGGGGGGCTCGTGGATACAACGTGGGGGTGCGAGGAGCAGGCCGAGGAGCTGGGGGAGAAAGCGGGGGGGAGGCCCCCCGTGGTTTTGCGAGACTGCATGTGGAGCGGCGGGGCTGCCAAGAGGCGGCTGGAGGCGTTCGTGTCGGAGCGCCTCGCCGCGTTGTGGGACAGCTGCGTGCTCAGGGCGGCGTCGGGAGGGGGCGATGCGGGCGGTGAGCAGCTGCAGGGGGGAGCGGCCCCCGGAGCGGAGCTCCTCCTCGGCGGGGCTGTGGCGGGGATGCTGACACAACAGCAGTGGAGCCGGGGACCCGCGTCTCCCCCCCGTGGTGAGAGGCGCGGGAGGAGGAAGACGGCGTCGGAGGGCGAGAGCGACTTGAGTAGCGAATCTGGTGAGTTGGGGGGAGTTGGGGGAGTGGGGGGGGGCTGGGTGAGTGGTGGGGGGGGGGGCCCTGTTGAGTGGCGATATTGAGTGAGTAGGGGAGCTGGGTGAGTTGGGGAGGGGGGTTGGATGAGTGGGAAGCTTGGCGAGTGAGGTGGCTCTGTTTAGGGGGAGGTGGGTAAGTGGGGGTCTGGATTCCCGTGGGGGTGAGTGAGTGGGGGGCTGTGGGCTGTGGGGACTGGGTACGGGAGAGCCGGGTGAGTGGGGGGGGGGGCTGGTGGTGCTCATCCCCTGCTGCTGTCCCCGCTCCACAGACAGCGAGGGAGGGGGACGCGAGGGCGGCGACGGCGCGGACGACGGCGATGACGACGACGATGCCGACGAGGACAACGAGGAGAAGGGAGAGGAGGAGGAGGAGGAGGAGATCGACGTAGTCACGGTGCGTGCGCCTCGACCGACCGGAGCCTGGCACCGCCCCGCTCTTCCCACCTCGTCCACCTCGTCCACCTCGTCCACCTCGTCCACCTCGTCATCCCTGCACCGCCAGCAGCACAATTACGCGGCGGCCTCCCCGCGCGAAGGCTCGAGGGGCGCCCCGCGGCCCCGCAGGCCAGCGGCCCCGCACGGGGACGCGGAGCCCGGGGGCCCGGCGGAGGCCGCGCGGGCCCCGGGCTCCGCCGCCTCCGACTCGGACGAGCCGTGCGAGCGGCGGCGCGCTCACAACATCCTGGAGCGGAGGCGCCGCGACGACCTGAGGCTGAGCTTCGCGGCGCTGCGAGCGCAGCTGCCCGAGCTCGCGTCCCGCGACCGCGCCGCCAAGGTTCACATCCTGGAGCGGGCGGCCGAGACGGCGCGCGAGCTGGGCGCGCGCGAGCGCCGCCTGCGGGCCGAGCGAGGGAGACTCCGCGCGCGGCTCCACGCGCTGCGCGGTCGCCTGCGGGAGCTGAGCGGCTGCGGAAGGGGGGACCCCCACGTGAACTGGGCGACCCCACACTGACCCCCACCCCACACTGACCCCCACCCCACACTGACCTCCAACCCCCACTGACCCTCACCCCACACTGACCTCCAACCCCCACTGACCCCCACCCCACACTGACCCCCACCCCACACTGACCCCCACCCCACACTGACCCCCACCCCACACTGACCCCCACCCCACACTGACCTCCAACCCCCATTGACCCCCACCCCACACTGATCTCCAACCCCCACTGACCCCCACCCCACACTGACCCCCACCCCACACTGACCTCCAACCCCCACTGACCCCCACCCCACACTGACCCCCAGCCCACACTGACCTCCAACCCCCACTGACCCCCACCCCACACTGACCCCCAGCCCACACTGACCCCCTTCCCGCAGGGGTCGTGAGCTGCTTGACTGCTGCCGCTATGACTCTTTCAGCGATGATGATGATGGTGGTGATGTTGGTGATGTTCGTGATCAAGACGGTCAGTCCTGATTCTCATCCCCTCGTGAAGATGACGGCGGTGACAATGATGGTGGTTGTGATGATGATGACAACGGTGGTGAACGAGATGATGAAGATGCCAGCGAGGAAGATGCTCACGCCTGCTCCTCAATCCTCCCGTGAAGATGAAGCTGGTGACGACGATGATGACGACGAAGACAACGATGACGTTGGTGGTGATGGGACCCCAAAAAGAGGGAGAGGGGAGGAGGGTGTAGCTTGCAGAGCCGAGGACAGCACGGGGACTGTGACATGGAGGACTCGTGAACTATCAGCCTCCCCGCATCTCCTGCCCCCCCCTCCACCTCACCACCTTGACACGGCCTTCATGTTCACTGTAAAGGGACTGAGGTCACTGTGAATTCCACTGCCCCTCCCCATGGACACATTCTTCACTGTCACTCCGCTTCACAGATGGTCCCCCGTGTAGCCCACACGCGCTGTCGGCGCCAGGGCGGTCTGCGAGCACCTATTAAGGCCCGAAGGTCACACGAAGGGAGATGTGTTCAGTATCTGGCAATCTGACGTCTGTGTTCGATTCATATTATATCAGTTGGTGAGTGATAACTGAACCGGTCCTCGGGCCTCCCCTAGGTCGACTCAGCCTTAAATGAGTACCCGGAGTCGTGTTTAAACGTCAGAAAAGGGGAGACAAAGACGGCCGGGCGTGGTGCTGGCCACCCACCCCCTCGTGTGCCGTGCCGGCCTTCATAGGTGCTCGCTAACAGCACTTGCCCCAACAGTCTGTTGAGGATACATGCGGAGTCTTTGTAGTTTCCTCTCAACTTGCTCAGCAAACTATTTCAGGTCTGTATCGTTTTATGCCGACTGTTCCGATTCAATTCAACGTCCCTTATTCAGCCAAGTGAGATCCTCTTTTGAGATCCACGCTCACTGAAAGGGGGACCTGGGATCCAAAGGGCAGACGGCCCTGGTGGCTAGGAGATGTTGACTACCTCGCGTGGTATGCAGGAGGTCTTGGGTTCTATTCCAACACTGACGCCTGCTGCTGCATATTTGGAGTTCGCATTTCTCTCTCTCCGTGGTCGCGTGGATTTTATTCCCTCCACATTTAGAAACACGCCTTTCGAGTACTTGCCTGCCATAAAAATGTCAACGTGACGATCAGCCACTTCGCTTGTGGCCAGGTCGCTTCTGAAACAAGGAGCTACGTAGCTAAGTGGGCCTTGCCCGGTAAAACAAACATCGTTTATAGTTTTAGTTTAATTTAGGCAGGGATTGAGATGCCTAACCACGGCACATAAATTAAGTGCCGTTGCCGGACATTAAGGAAGAGCCAATGCCTGAATCGTTGCTGATGATATTTTTTGTCTTATCTTAATGCCATAACACACAGACGCGTTGTTGTTGTTGACGATTGTGTTGTGTCGTGTGTGTGTGTGTGATGTGTTTTATACCCAACCCGAGTCGGATTTTGCTCCGAAGTGGAAATTCGTCGTCACGTTTTTTTTAATGTTGCAGGCGCCGCCAATATAATGTGCACGTTATACATTTAATAAAAAAAACTCTTGAGTATAAACCAACAAAAAGTCCGATTTTTGTCAGCAACGCGAATTGTGGGAATTTTTATTCACCAGGGGTTCTCTGATTAAAACAAAAACGTGACGCATCACGACGGGGGAGAAACAAAGGCGGCCGGGTGTGGTGCTAACCCACACCACTCCCTAGTAGTGCGCCCTACCGCCCTTAATAGGTGCTCGCAAACAGCATTCACCCCAACAGCCTGTTAAAGCTATGGAGGTGGCGCTTGCCTATGTGTCCGTCTGGAAGAATGTGTGTCGATAATTGGGTGTGTGTGTGTCTTGAGGAATCTGTGTGTGTGCGTACGGAGGAGGAGGCTCGTGAAGGACGCTGCTGCTGCTGGGCAGTTGGAGGCAGTCGCCCTCCAACAACAACGAGCGGAGCACGGGGCGATTAAAACGCAGCGAGTTGGCACATTAAGGGGTACAGTTGGTGCATCTGCCAGTCATCTCAGTCAGTCACCTCTTGGCACCTGCTGGGTCTGTCCCGTGGACCTCCTGCCGGAGAGTCTTCGACACTTCACGTGGCCTCAAAGTGCACCTAGCCGGGCACAACCGCTGTAGTGACATCACCGCTACTTAGTGGCGAATTGCGGGTATTTTTGTCGTGTGTGGGGAGCGGTGGTGTCGCGATTAGCGCGCTCCGATACGAACCCGGCGCCTCGATTTTGATTCCCTATCACGCCAACACCAGGGACGATTATTATCTGGACCGGTCCTGCGCTTCCCCTCGGCGCGGTGGGTAATCACCAGCTTCGAGGAGACAAAGGCGGACGGGCGTGGTTCTGACCACCCACTCCTTCGTGAACAATGCGAGCCTTAATAGGCGCTCGCTAACAGTACTTGCCCCGAAGGCTATAAGGGAGACCTTTGTCTTTGTCCAAGGATGTGTGTAGGTGTGTATAGGGCGTGGGTGTGTGTGTGCTGTACGTTTATATTTGAGAAGCCGATAGCATCAGTACCAAGCTGTATCTGATTCGGTTCTGAGCATCCGCCAGGTCTACTCGGCCTTAAATGAGTACCTCGTGCAGTGTGAAAAGTGCCATCGTTGGGAGACAAAGGCGACCGGCAGTGTGTGTGGCCAGACCCCCCCCCCCCCCCCCACTCGTGTGACGTGCTGGCTTTAATAGGTGCTCGCTAACAGCACTTGCCATACTTTCTACGTGGCTATATGGGGGATATTTATCTTTGTGTGTGCAGCGTTACGTGTGCGGTGTGGGTGGGATGGGTGAGGTGTGGGTGGTGGGGGAGGGGTGTGTGGTGGGGGAGGGGTGAGTGGATGGGTGAGGTGTGGATGGATGGGTGAGGGGTGAGTGGATGGGTGAGGTGTGGATGGGTGAGTTGTGAGTGGTGGGGGAGGGGTGAGTGGATGGGTGAGGTGTGGATGGGTGAGATGTGAGTGGTGGGTGAGGGGTGAGTGGATGGGTGAGGTGTGGATGGGTGAGATGTGAGTGGTGGGGGAGGGGTGAGTGGATGGGTGAGGTGTGAGTGGATGGGTGAGGTGTGGATGGGTGAGATGTGAGTGGTGGGGGAGGGGTGAATGGCTGGGTGAGGTATGGATGGGTGAGGTGTGGGTGGTGGGGGAGGGGTGTGTGGTGGGGGAGGGGTGAGTGGATGGGTGAGTTGTGAGTGGTGGGGGAGGGGTGAGTGGATGGGTGAGGTGTGAGTGGATGGGTGAGGTGTGGATGGGTGAGCTGTGAGTGGTGGGGGAGGGATGAGTGGATGGGTGAGGGGAGCGGTGGTTGGGGGCGAGTTGGACCCCCTCCCTCGCATTCCTGTGACGTCACTAATTGCTCTCTCAGATCGGATCTCGAATTGCGCGAGAAATTTCAAAGTAAATGAGGCGCGTGCCGCGCCTTCACAACACGCGACTCAATCACCATCAAAGACAAAGATCCCCCGTGTAGCCTAGCTATTAGCAGACTGTTGGGGCAAGTGCTGCTAGCGAGCACCTGTGAAGGCCGGAACGGTACACGAGGGGGTAGGTGGCCAACACCACGCCCGACCCCCTTTGTCTCCCCAGTGGCGATGCTTACACATCCACTGCAACGTCAACGGCTCATCTAGAACCATTCTCCAACGGCAGAGCCACGTGTGGGGAGAGGCAGAGCCGCGTGTGGGGAGAGGCAGAGCCGCGCGTGGGGAGAGGCAGAGCCGCGCGTGGGGAGAGGCAGAGCCACGCGTGGGGAGAGGCAGAGCCGCGCGTGGGGAGAGGCAGAGCCGCGCGTGGGGAGAGGCAGAGCCACGCGTGGGGAGAGGCAGAGCCACGCGTGGGGAGAGGCAGAGCCGCGTCGCGATGGGGCGATTCCAATGTACAAGGAGAGGTGCAGAGATCTAGATCATGAAAAATAAGAATAGGGGTTTCACTCTTTCTGGCAATAAAACATAGTTATTAAGATGTTCGAACACCAAACAGATACCTTCTGCAAGGAATTACGTCTGCATTAACCACTTATACTGGCAAAAAACATGTCCCAGAGATATCTCGATTGAAACCTCATTTCTTTAGAGCTGATCTGAGTGTTTAGTTTATTTCACCCCGCACCTCCGATTAGCACGGTTTGGCTACGCACGGTGCGAAATAAGTTCAACATGCAGCACATACATAGATGGAAAGGTGACTGGCCAGATTTGCTACTGCAGTGAGATTTGAGCGAGGTGAGTACAAGTATCGTCCCTGATTGACAGCCATCCAACACGGGTGTTCAACTAAACATCTTTGCGTTGTTTTTGTTTGAACCGAGCTCGAGGAAGTGCACGTGGAGAGGCCCAGACGGGGAACCGAGGAACGAGGCGATCTTGATTCTACCGGACAAATCCCACACCGCCAGGACACTCGGCGCGACGAGCGAAGCGTTCCTGGGCGCCGTCTTGACAGCTGCACGCGTGGACAACCCGCGACCTCTGACCCCAAATGCCAGTGGGAGTGCGGGGGGGTGGAGAGGGCTAGCTGGTGTAGAGGCGAGTAGGTCGAGAGCAGAGGTCGGCAATCAACATGACAGGAAGAGTCG